TACATGGTAAGATTGTTACATCTTAGTTCAATTGAAACAGAGAGAACCGAGAGAAATACAATCCATTTCAGAGGAAATAAGATGACTTTACCATGTGAACCCCTGGTGGCTTCCTCCAAGGATGTCTGCTTGGGCACAGCCTCCTCCAGTTCTTCCAGGTCACCTAGGAAACAGAGTCATATAAGCACATGAGCTCCACTGAGTGAATCCCGTCAGGTGATGCTTGGAGCGCTGGACACGGGGCTGGCGTGTGTGGAAAGGTGTGGTTCACAGCACAGACTCAGCTGCTGCTGGTTCCTCTTCCAGGTGGAGAGGGAAGACAAATGGTGAAGGAAGGCATCAGGAAGGCCACAGAAGACAGAGTCTTAGTCGTCGTAGCTAAGGCAACCTCTTCGACATGAAATAACCCATCTCAAACAGGGGCACATGACAGTTTCCTGTAGCATCGTCAGGGCCTCCTCCTTCTTAATCTGACCTGACCTAAATTGTCCTCCTTCTTTATCCCTCGAGGTCATTTTCTCCCCAGGATCCACATGTCCTGCTGCCGTGTTTTTGTTCCTCCTAGAACTTTTCTTTTCCTTTTTATTGAGATGAGGTTTCACTCTTGTTGCCCAGGCTGGAGTGCAATGGCGTGATATCGGGCCTACCACAACCTCCGCCTCCTAGGTTCAAGTGATTCTGCTGCCTCAGCCTCCTGAATAGCTGGGATTACAGGCATGCGCACCCACTCCTGGATAATTTTGTATTTTTAGGAGAGACGGGTTTCCTCCATGTTGGTCAGTCTGGTCTCAAACTCCCGACCTCCGGTGATCCGCCCTCCTCGGCCTCCCAAAGTGCTGGGATTACAGGCATGAGCTACCATGACCGATCAGAGCATTTTGTACTAGAAAAAAAAAAGCAACCTTTCTTCAAAGAGGAGACTTAATTCTATCCAAAATATTTTATGTATTCAGTAACCTTTTCTTTTAAAGAAGACTAAACCAAGATTTGAAAATACTCAATTATCCTACCATTTAAAGATGACTCCTACGTGGTCTGTGATATTTGTCCTTCTGCTCTTCCTTTGAACACAATGTGCGTGTGATATGGGGCCTACTGCTGGTCATGCTCACACTGGCTCTAGCACTAGGACAGCCCATCATGGGGGGCAGCAGGTGGGGGCGCTGACCCTCTCTAACCCAGCTCTGTAGAAGATTCCAGCAGAGAAGATGAGTACCAGGATAGCACCCAAGTTTTTCCTTCAGTTCTTATTTGGTGCTGTGTCTTGGGTATGAGTGCTGAACTGCAGCGTATGTAAGGCTTATAAAGATTATCTCATTAAATACAATATAACATGTCTGACAATTTTCTGCTTTTGATCAGGAGATGAGAAAATAACACAGCACTGCAGCCAAAAACCTGACCTCTCAATGTCTATTTCCCATTTGTGACCACACCAAAGTCCACTATAAAATATACTTATTCCTACGCTGAGTTATGTGAGCATTGCGAGAATCCTATATGAGAGACAGTGTTTGGGATTTCTGAAAGCCATCCAACTTCCATATGTACACCTAGGTGTTAAAACTCTCTGGCATAATGACAAATTATACCAGAACCATGTGATTACTTCCGAGTAGTAGCCCATGGCATCAACCTTCCACTCACTCCTGAGTTCACCTCTACCTTTTCCACTGAAGAGATAAAGAGCTTGGCAAATTCATCTCTGCACTATCTCCATCTGCGTACTGGGGATATTAAACTGACCTTCAGCTACAGCTGTGGTGGAGGATAAATGGGCTGACTGACATAAGGTGTGCAATGGTGATGGAATTTTTATTTACAACACTCATCTTTGTGGTGGGCTGTGCACATGGAAGCATTGAACCTTTGATTCAAAGATTTACAACACTCATCTTTGTGGTGGGCTGTGCACATGGAAGCATGCTTTCTGGAGAAATGTACACATCCTCCCAAAGACACTCATAATCATTCTACACAGACTCCTTACACCCCCCACCCTGATGCACCTCATTTGATGTCATAAAAACGACACTGCAGCTAACAGGGACTATGTAGGATGGTCACCCCTCTTCAGTACACTCTTAGTAATTTCTTCCCAAACGTCGTTTCCAATAGGAAGCTCCAATGAGAGTGGTTCTCCAGAAAAAGCAGGTAAGAAAGTGTCACCTTTCTCAACACTAAGATTTTTCCTTAGCAAAAAGGTGATCCAAGAATACGTACCATTTGTTTCTGTGAATGGCTCTGCCTGCATTTAGAGAAAGAAAACACCATGAGGGTAAGATCATGCTGCCTGTGTACACAAGTCTTTTCTAAACTTGGTGCTACTAGAAAACCCAATGGGAAATTCAGGTGGAGGCAACAGCCACAAAAATAAAGCCTAGGAAACACCTGTAGAAAGGCACCACCTTTTTGTGCAAGATTTTAAAGTTTAGTTTTAAATTCATAATTTTCAAAAAGGGTTTTCTCCTGAAGAAAATGCTGCTGACATAGTTTGTAACTGAAGCCGTCATCTATGAATGCCATCTGGAATCAGTTCTTAGCTGGTAATGAATTCTCATTTTATATTTTCCCACCAAGAAAATATCTAAGTCATCTATAATGTACATGGTAGTGAGATTTTCCTATCTTTATTCAAGTGAAATTGAAAGAAACCTAGGAAAATGAAATTCTCCTTTCAGGGAAAGAAAGGACAACTTACACTGACAACAGTGAGGATCCTCTCAGTGGATGCCTCATGTGGATATACTGCTCCAAGCTTCTCTTGATGATCTAGGAGACATAGGGTAAGTGTCACCACATGGATTCCACTGAGGGAATCCCTCGGGTTTATTGGGTGGTGTGCACGTGAGGCTGGCATGTGTGAAGAAGTTGGGTTACCCCAGATGGAGTTGCAGGCCCAACCTCCTTGATGGTGAAGGCAGCAAATGAGACCATGAGGAAAGCAAGGGAAACAGAGCCTTGGGCCTCTAGCTAAGGCAAGCTCATCAGTGACACACAGCTGGTCTCAAAGACGGCACACCATACGGGGCAGGCTGTGCTTCCCTACAGCGTCTCAGGTTCCTCCTTCCTAATCTGACCTGAGCGTACTTGCCCTCCCTTTGTGATCCCTTCTGAGGTCATTTCCTGCTCAGGATCCACATGTGCTGCTGCTGTCCATCATCCCTCCTAAAATATTTGGTACTGCATAAAAGCAACCTTTCTTCAAAAAAACTTAACTCTAGCCAAAAAATACTATGACTTCACTGAACCTTTGATTCAAAGAGAATTAAACCAAGATTTGAAAATATTCAATTATCCTACCATTTAAAGAGGACCTGCACTTAGCTTATTTGTCCTTCCACTCTTTCTTTTCAACACAACGTATGTGTCCCTGGAGTCAGCTGCTGCTCATGCTCACACAGACTCCAGCACTAGGACAGCCCAACACGGGGGGCAGTAGGTGGGGGGGCTAACACTAACGCTCTCCAAACTAGCTGTGCAGGAAATCCCACCGAGGTGATGGACACCAGAACACCCCAGTTCTTCCTTGAGTTCTTATTCTGCACTGTGTATTGGATGTGTGGGCTGAATTATGGCATATGGAACACGTGTGGCCATTATATTATTAAACATAGTAGAATATGTCCCTGATTGTT